TTGGCAGTGAAACCAGCGCTGGTCGATATAGCTGGGAGCAGACCGGCTATGCCACAGTTGACAAACTCCATCAGGAACATGCTGAAAGCCACGAAAAAGAAGCTGGAGCTCTTCCATGCCGAGAGATCAAATACCGAACCTGTATTTGCATACGGGTCATAGTTGTCGGTGCCCAAGACAAGACGTTCGAAGGGCAGAAAACAAAGGAATCCAACACTCGTCGAGGCGGCAATAACTATCGCCACGATCCTCATTGACCAAGTCCAACCAAGATGCTCAAAAGTCGAGTGAAGAATGATTGGAAAGATGGTAGCACCAAGGGAAGCTCCCGTAACAGCAATGCCCATAGCGAATCCTCGTCGACGAACGAATAACTTTCCCACCACTCCAATAGCAACAGTGCAGTTGATACCAGTGCCGATACTGCCAAAGACACCGAAAAAAACCATGAACTGCCAGTATGTTTTGCACTGCCCCATTATGAGAAAAGTGGCGGTCGAGAGAATACCTCCGATTGCGCTTAGGAGTCGAGGACCATAGCGGTCGAGAAGAGAGCCGTAGAGGAAACTGGGGACGCAGGCGAGGAATAGGTATACACCGATGATCCAGCCGATTTGGCTGTTGGTGTTGTCTTTGAGTTGGTTGTCACTGAAGTATGACTGCAGTGTGCCGATGGAGCCGTTGAAACCTGGGGTTTGGTGTTAATAAAGTCTGCCAGAGGTCTGATGAATGATTTGGGGATATGTAAGACGTACCAGAGGAGCAAAATAGAAAGAGGAATGAGCCAAAGACACAGAGCCGAGCACGCCACTCTGACTCATGGTCCATGACGAAGGACGCTGATCGGTAAGATAAGGGGCGAATGGATGGGGGCCTATCCATGGCCTGACGATTGGTGTCTTCAATACCGTCTTGTAAAGATACATCAACATATGGGAAAGAGCTCTCAAAGTCGAGGGAGGGGCTCTTTTCGAGATCGAGCGAATCGGTGTCGTGTTGACGGACCATTTTTGTGAATGATGTGCTGCGACAAGAATGAAATGGATTGCGTATGTAAGTCCAAAAACTGATCTCGCAGCTGGTTTATATATATTTCCCCCTTCATCTTGAGTTTGGGAAATGGAAGTTTGATCGATTCATCTTGAAAGCTTATGATTTCTGAGCGAGAGATATGAAAGCTAAGATGTTTTCTCTTCACTCTGGGTGGTAGACTTATGCTATTGACTTTTAAATATCACATAAAATAAGAGACTTTAGCGACTAAGTTATGGGGAAAACAAACGCATTGTTACATTTAAGATTTTGCGTACAGTTCGTGTGATTTGGCCTTGCTGGAAACCTCTCTTAAGAACTACTCGAAGTTTAGTTTCGCTTAGCTAAATTCAGTAGGAGCATCATCATAAGCCGCATCTTTTGGCCTTGTTCTTGTTGTAATGGTTGTCGAGTCGACACACTTATTCCGCAGGTCTAGGCTTTATCCCGCCGATTCATTGAGGCCTTTCACTCAAGATCTACGTTTGCTGTCTTGGATATCCGTGAAAATAGCTTAGTAAGAAAAGCTTCCAAAGATGGCCATCTGTGGAGAGCCAGGAAGTTATTTTTTCTTCAGAAACATTTCCTTAATTTTCTCAGTAATGATATGAAGTCAAGTCCCCAAACGTGAGGGTGGATGTCGAAGCTAAAACGAATCTGACGTTTTCAGAACCAACCAACCAACCACCCAAATCTCACCATCTGACCAATCACATGACCCCATCAAACCACTCAGCCCGGAAACTACGGCATCATACTTTTATCATCATCAACACCAACATCAACACCATGACGAACCCATAGTCACCACCTCACGACATGCCGCCTCTAAGCGAGACCATTCGAAATGGCATCTCCGACTCGTTGGCGCGCACTCAACTCTGGCTCAACACGCCAAATGGTCGTGGCGTGCTAAAGTGCACTGTTGCCTACACCATCGCCAGCCTTGCGACTTTTGTACCGTTTTTGGCGAACTTTCTGGGCAAGCCGGAGGGTAAACATGTTGTTGCTACTATTACGGTGTATTTTCACCCTGCGAGGTCGGTGGGATCGATGATTGAGGCTATTCTTATTGCTGTTGTTGCCGTTGCTTACGCAGAGGCGGTTTCGCTGTTGTCAATGGTTACTTCGGTCTTTTTCGGATCGACGATGCATTTGGTGACGCTATCGCATGTTTTGGTTGTTGTGGTGTTTATCGGTGGTGGGTTTGGCTTCATGGGTTGGGTGAAACAGAGGATGCTGAACCCTCTCGTCAACGTCGGCAGCACCCTTGCAGCTCTCGCGATAATCGGAGTCGTGACCAAAGAAAGTCACGTAATGTCCAACGTATTCTCTAACGAGAAGGTACTCCAGGTATTCAAGATGCTCGTCATGGGTATCACGACTACGACGGCAGTCAATCTGCTGCTCTGGCGAACGAGCGCCCGCACGTCACTGCGAGAGACGATGAATCGAGTCTCGATACCGCTAGGAGATATGCTATACATGATTACCAACAGTTTCCTCAGTGGATCTGAAGAAGGTCTGGTGTCGGATGGATTTACAGCAGCATCGACACATTATGCGAAATCCTATTCTCAAATGATGAAGGACATGAGAGAAGCGAAGTTTGAGCATTATTTCCTTGGACATGAAGAAATTTACGAGCATGAGAGGACTGTTGCGAGATCTATGGAGACCTTGGCACAGGCGCTGGGTGGCTTGAGGAACGCGACGAACACTCAGCTTGAACAGCTCAAGCATCCCAAGCTACTGAGTCCAAGAGCATCAGGCACGGCTTCACCTAATACGGCGCGACAGCTGTTCGAGCAGTTTAACCAATCGATCACTATGTCTATGACAGGTGTGCGACAGAATCTTTGCAGAATTCTTCACGAGCCGCAGTTTGGACAGCCGCCCAGCTACGAAATTAACGTCGATGAGGACCTACGGCGCAATTTGATGGACTCGCTGAGTACCTTTGACACAGCCAGATCAGATGCCTTACAAGGGCTCTATGATCGAATCGAACAAATGGCTTCGTCTCACGAATCAACACGCGCTAATCTGGAAGAAGTCGCTGCAGCGTGCGGCCACTTCACCTTCAGTCTTCAATCCTTCGGCGAGGACGTTCTTCAGTACCTCGATGTTCTGGATGATCTGGAGTATGTGATTATACGCAAGAGTAGAAGTTGGAGATGGTTGCTCTGGTGGAAGACAGGTGCTGAAGAAGATCGGAACAAAGCGATCAGATTATTTGAGTCTACAGAGGCTGCTGATTCACTGATGCGGACGAGGCAGAGATCTGTTAGTGTACTTGATGGTTCAGCTGCGGTACCTGCGCCGGTGGATTTGAGGACGTGGTATAATGCGCCTGATCTGAATAAGATACTGGCTTGGTTCTGGAGAAACATCTCAGCGCTTTTTAAGAAAATGGCGCGAGATGATAGTAAGTTTGGTCCATTCTCTTTTTCCCTGTGTTCATTCACTGACTGCGACTAGTTCAGTTCGGCCTCAAAGTTGGAATTGGAGCTGCTCTATGGGCCATGCTAGCCTTCCTTGAGGAAACAAGAGAGCTATACACCGAATGGCGTGGTGAATGGGGTCTTTTATCCTTTATAATCGTGTGCAGTTTCACTGTTGGAGCTGCCAACACCGTTAGTTTGGCTCGTTTCATCGGAACGATATTCGGAGCTGTATTCTCCGTGATCAACTGGAAGATCAGCCATGGTTACGCCTTGGCACTGATTCCTCTTGGCTGGCTGACGAGTTTTATCAATTTTTACCTTGTCATTCAGCATGGCAAGGCTTCTCTGGGACGAATCAGTCTTCTTGCGTACAATGTTTCTACATTGTACGCGTACAGAGTAAAGAGGAAGGCAGATGGGAACGACGCGACGGAAGATGGGCAGTTCAGTCAACCTGATATCGTGGAGATCGCCAATCGCCGAGCCATTGCCGTCACAGCTGGTATCATTTGGGGTCTGGTGGTTTGCCGACTCATATGGCCCATATCAGCCCGCCGAAAGTTCAAAGAGAGTCTGTCAGTGCTTCATCTGCAGATGGGTCTGATCTGGAAACGAGGGCCCCTCACCGTTCTCTTTCGCAGTGAAGGGTCTCAAAGCTATCTCAAGTCAGGCGAACAAGCTGCCTTGCAAAGGTATGCTGCAAACCTGGATAGCTTGAGACTAGCCGCCGCTTCAGAGTTTGAGTTACGAGGCCCGTTTCCCATGGAAGTCTACGGCCGTGTGCTGAAAAGCACTATGCGCATCCTTGATGGCTTTTACAACATGAGTCTTGTTGCCTGTCGAAAAGGTCATCTCACGGAAGGTGAGAGGGCTTTACTTGAATACACCGCTCGTGAGCGTGCCATTCTATGCGATCACATCTGTCAAGCTTTCCAAGTGGTCGCCAGCTCAACGATGCTGGAGTACCCTTTCGCTGATGCTACACCAAGTATCGTGTCAGCACGCGAGAACTTGTTGAGCAAGATCTTTGAGTTCAGAAAGGAACATCCTCGTAGATTGATAAACGAGGGTGGTGAGGGCAGTGAATCAAGTCAGCTACTTGTCGAGGAGAAAGATTATGCACTGCTCTACGCATATGCGCTTGTTACTGGACAGGTTGTCGACGAACTAAGGTTGATTGGAAAGGAAATAGGGAGTCTTTTCGGTGTTTTGGATGAGGATACCCGGCTTCTGCAGTAATAGAGACAGAACTCCACAAGAGCATATTTTTAATGACGTAAATCAGCACAGAACCTAGCAAGGACCATCTATCGTGTATGCGCCAACTCCTACCTTACAGAATATCCCTAACAGCCATAACTTGAGAACCTAAGCAAGTGTAATACCGAAACACAGACCCAGACCCGAAAAATGACACAGAACACCGAGCGATCTAATAAAGTATCATCGTCCAAACAGCTAAGCCACAAGGGCTCAGCTTACCAAAATGACTCATGAACAACACCTATCGACCAAAAGCGTTTAAGAGCCAAAAAGCTTGATCTGGTGTGAGCTAAGAGAATACTCAGCCAAAGTCATGGCAATCAACCCTTTCTCTTTGAAGTCCTCTAGCATGAAACGAAGTCGGATATCCGGATCTCGAACTCTTTTGTGAGGCAAAACCACAACATCATTATGGGGCCGGCTTCCATCATTCAAACTCTGAATGAGATACATGTTGGATGAAGCGAGCTTGTCGACCAATTGACCAACAACATGCCACGGGTTGAGAAGTACAACACAATTGCGAGGGAAGAGAAGTTTCCACATACGAACACTAGACCTCGCCATGGTGAGAGTGACGAGGAAGTTGTCCAGAAGTGTAAGTTCGATAAGGTCTTTGCGCGGAAGTTCTTTGTATTCGTCAGACACAGAGTCTTGCCAAGCAAAACATGCACATCGTAGTCGTACTCCAGAGCATATTCAACCGCTGGAGTCATGTCTCTATCTCCAGAAACAAGGACAAAAACATTAGTCTTGTTAGATTTCGGGAGGTGGGTAGCATCTAGTGATATACCTCTGACTAGGTTCGTATCAACCTTTTTCTCGCCTCCCTTTCCTTTCCGATGAAAGTTGAATAAACGGGAAGAATGAAGTACAAGATCTTGATATACGCGACCTCGATGAAGGTTAGATCCATAGACACTGATGACTTTCATTCCGGTGACTTTGCGGATGATGCCTCTGAGCTTGCGGATGTCGTAATGCCAGTCTAAGTGTCTTTTGGGGTCAAGACGGCGACGCTTCTCTTCGGCTTTTGCACCACTGATTTTGAAGTTGGATTCATCCAGGTAGAGGTGTGCAACTCGACCGCTTTTGTCAGACGAGGGCTTGGAAGGTGGAGAATGTGGCATGGTGACAGATAGAGAGAGTTGTGCTTGTAGAAAAAAGATGAGTCGATATCACAGGAGAGAAGCCCAGTACCAATGATAAGTTCACGGCGAGGGATGGGGATGTTTGAAGGATCAACCTCAGCAGGACTGATAGTAAAGTGCACATCTTATAGTGATTAATTTAGTTACTTCAATGACACTGGCGATTACAGTGAAGGAATTCAGATTCTTTCAAGAGGAGTGACTGATCACTTCTCACAAGTTTATGCAATGTCCTTTGTTGATGAGATCTGACAGAGTCTGCATTATATGCAGCTGCGACAAAGAATATTTAACGTTAACAAGAGCGGCATATCAGAAAATGCTTCTTTAGTTCTCATTCAATTAACAAGGACTAAGCGTTTTGCCCCTCCACCCCGCCAATTCTGACAGTGACGGGACATCTGCTGGAATTCTGTCATAAAGGCCACGTTAGTGGCCAGCTGAACAGAGAAAAGATAATTGTTGAAAGGTGAATATGCTAATCTGAAGTAAACCTTCTTACGTTAAGCCAGTCTCTATGTTCATATTCTAAATTCATGAGATGAGGCGCATATGCTCCTACACAAGAGCCCTAAGGCTGATGGGTGCCAGGGTTCATTATCGCGGAGAGATATATCGTCATCCCGCTCGAATTAGGAAACTGAGTATAACGGCTGTTAATCTATAGTGTTATTTTGAGTTGATAGCCCCACAGCAGATGGCTCATATCATGCGCCCCATGCGCCTCACGCGCCTCTTAGGAGATACACTTGGATGTTGAAGAACACGGTCTCTAACATAGTTGGCTCGGACCTTTGTGGAAGAAACACAGTGTACTTTGCGTCCTCGGTTCACAGGCCGAGGTAAGGAAATGCAGCGCACCTCTACTCTACATGCTTGAGAAGAGGTACGCGACAATTAGAGGCACACGAAGAGCGGGGACATATTTGAATTAAGAGATCTGTTTCTAAGCGAATATCGCAAGTGAAGCATATAGCCCTAGGTCCTTGGAGACATGCGCAGGGCTGGCCAACATGAATTGGTATACCTCCTTATCCTCTCCTAACTCTCTTCTGTCCAAAATCAAAGTTCAACTTCAGCCATCTAGAATGAAACTCGTACTTGGGCGTTGCAAGGTGAGATGGTCTCCTGGCAAGTCAGGGCCCTAACCCTAAGGCCATCTACTGGGGCGCCAAAATGCAGCCGTCCGAGGCCGCGGGAATGTTGCTAGGGCAATTGATGCAGGAGCCAACCCACTCATTGTTGGCTTGAATGGGAGCGACAGAGTGTTCGCAATGCCAGATATTGATGCACGCACGGCTGTAGACGCCGGCCATTTGTGAAGCGGTAACTGGGGAGCCTTCCGTGGGGCAAGTCACGAGAACTACGCCGACACGGCCCCTAGGTTCAATTGCAGCACCAAGAGAGCTGGTGGCAAAGGCAAGGGTGGCAACAGTAGAGAACTTCATGGTTGTTCACGTGTTAGAAAGGTTCGAGTATCCTTGGGGGCATCGGAAACATACTGAAAGTTGTGAAAATGGCTTAGAGTAAGCAGTATTTGAGGTAGGCTGGATACAAGGAAGAGGAAGTGTTTGCTGGGCCGATGGGAGAAGAGGTAAGTGAGGTTTCAATGGATAGAGCTGGCTTTTATATCCTCCTGGAGCTCTTCGAGTCACGATAGTTTAATCACTAGGTATGTCAGACGAGGTTGCGGGCGCACGGCAGAATCGGCTTCTCTAATTCTGTTTTTGAGGCCATGGTATGATAGCTCGGCTTCGCTTAGAAACAATATCTAGGAGTCCGTTTGTCTTTCTCCACGGGATATCCGATCTCGTAGTGGGGTGAAGCATCTCAATTTTGTATTATAATACGAGTTACAGCATAGTTAGAGTTGTGCACCAGATGAACTTTATTTCAGACGGTTTCGGGCTGTCGCCGAATGTGGAAGGCGTCTGAATTAACAGGGGTTACGAAACATACGAAAAACCCCCACCATTACTCTCGTAGTATACTATGTGATCTAACCATGCAATGGACTTTAACGGTTCAAAGATGGTATTGAAAACTATTGCCGTTCGGTCCGACGGCAGTTCTCACAAGACGACTTATTTACAAGTTGAAAGAAAATTTTAGTTCGTTTTGAGGTCAAGAAATGCGGTCAGAAATCTATAAAGCTCAGCAGTTATGCTCGTTTTCAATATCGAGCAACCATCTCAAACATCTTTCCAAGCTTCGGTCTATTACACACAACCCTCAAACACACCTTCTATCCACCATGTTTGTATCAGAAATCATCAGCCCTCTCCTCCTCGTCGCCAGCGCCGCACTGGCGGCTGCCAATCCTCAGCCCTCCTTTGCGGCTGTTGTGGCTCCCCGTCTGCAGGTTTCCGTCGAAGCAGTCGACGAACTCCTGATGAGCAACACTACTGAGCATCTCACAAGCATTGATATCGCCAAATGGGCTCCTGCTCTCGGGCAGCCAGTCGAGGTTCTCACCAGCTTGGACTCTGAAACCAAGTTCAAGGTGTTCTATTTCCTCCACCAAGCCATTTCCGAGGGGCCTGGATCGCTTTCTAAGCGTGACCAGGCGACTGCTGATAAAGATGCCGCCATCATCAGGGAGAAGGCAGAATCCTACCAAAGCACAGTCACAGTTGAGGCAGCGGAAGATGAGCTTCGTTGCCAGAATACCGCTTCTTGTGTTCTCTGTATCGGTGCAGCTGCAACTACCGCGGGAGGTCTCATTTCTTCATGCTCTGCAGTTGCACTACGAGCCAACAACCTTCGTGTTGCAGGAAACGCTAGCCCAACAGCTGCCGAGGTTAGCGGTGCTGTCATTATCGCGGAGCTCTTAGCATGCGCCGCCAAGCCTCTTACCGGTTTCCTCGTTGCTACTGGTGTCTGCCTCAAGGTTACAGGCCATTAAACGACAACCTTTGGAAGGCTGAAGGCTTACTGCGCCTGGTGGAGACAGCTTCCCGGTATCAACTTTTGAAAACAAGTTACTCTCGATGCCATTCAGCCACAGCTGTTGGAAACCCCGTTTAGTTACTAGTACTGGTGATAAATATTTCATTCTTGTGAGAAGTCTAGCTTACAAGTGAAGCTTGATAGTTTAGAAAATATACCTTATCTTATCTTTAATTTTTCTCATGAGCTAAACGGAACTGGAAAATGCTAGGTGATGAGCCCGGGTCAAACAATACCCTTGTTGGGATCCCACTCGGCACCGTCCTGCATGATATACGAGAGTATGCCGATACCCGTTTATCCCGTAGCTTCGGATACTGCGAAAAAGACAAGTCTGTCGGGTTAGACAGTACCTTATCGTTAGTTTAATCAATCCTACCTTGCAGATCTATTGTTGACTCTTGAGTCCAACTCTGGAGGCTCAGCCCCGTCTTAATCTGCTCTTGTACCAATGTCGCCCGGATTTTCGCTCCATTTCCGCTAGGTGCATTTCTCAGAGGTGTGATTGGAGGACAATAAGGCTGGCTAATCGTAGAATGCAGTGCCGGCAAGAGCTTGTGCCAGTTAGACTTTTTAGGTGAGCATGTGGTGCGCTGCTATCAGGTTATAAACGATGACTCTTTAGATCGGGAAGATCTTAGGAATGGATGAACTTATTCAAACCCCTATAGCCTGCTTTAATAACTTATAAATTGCCCCGAGATGTTGAGATATGCGATCCTTGTCTGACGTTATGATAGAGCCGCATTATTAATAGATAATAGCAGGCCCGTGCAAGCCAAGTTGATCGAGCTTGGCAAGTTCGTTTCAAAAGATAGGTATAGAAATCTGAAGGCCCTCATTAGTCTATTTGACGAAACGTGGCGCGTTTTCAGTAGGAATACTTAGGGAAATCAGACTTACAGGGTAGAGTTAAGTTAGCTTCGTTTTAGTTACTCATAAATGGCTTGGCCTACACGTCACGAACTTAGCACGGACCCCGCGGACTACCCTTTATGAAATGGGCCCTGGCTTGCGTTTTAGTAATTATGGCCTGAATAGCAGGGCCAATGACGAGTTTTACCGATCTTCAGACCATTAATTAGTCTAAACCCAATTTCGAGACCCGTTACTAACTATAGTAATAAGGCAGGTTTTATTATAAAACAGCTTGAGGTACCCTATACTCTAGCTTGAGGTTGAAACTGTTTAATAGAAAAGGTAAGGTTGACCAATAAGGTCAGTCACCAGGTTACTACTCTAGCTTGAGCTTTATGGTACATATATTATTAAGAAGCCTCTCTTAAGCTACTGTAAAGGAAATTAAGACAATCTATAGAAATATTAAAAAATAATACAGTAAGATAGAAATCTAAAGGTGCTTATAGGATGTAAACGACCTTTATTAGTTACTTTAGATTACATTGCCTGTAAATCTTATACTACTCTACTACTGGCCCTACTCATTTATGGGAGTAACATCTCTTACGGTTTGGCATACGTGGCTCCTCTTTTTGGTTTGAGGTAGCCCCGATGCCGGACATTGAAGGTACTAGCGTGCCACGTGGGTCAGAATCATGGCTACAGTGGTTTATAGTATTCATTCTGGCAAAGCCACAGTAGGTTGAATCTTAGGAAGGATGCCATTTAATACAGTTCCTCAGTTTCAGGCTCCGCATTGGTGTTGTTTACCTTTGTGCCTTGGGGGTAAAGCATCGTTCAAACCCTTAAACTTATCACACAGGATCCGCGGCATACATGTTCATAATAATTTGTAGCTTCTGGTGAGGGTGGCCAAAGTAAGACTGGCTTGGCTAGTGTTGGAGAACTGTAGAGGAACAGTCCGGGTTCCTATATCAGTCCAGGCCTATGTCTATTAGAACTGTGCAGCTGATTATCCATGCGAGGTTGAACTTGAGGTTGTCAATACATATGATAAGGGCACGATATTTGCTAAGTTGTGATTTACAATCAAGGTCCATTGTTCCACTGACCCCCAAGGCCTATTTGCAATTAGGAAATCATGTTAGCATAACATGAGATATGAGGGGGATCAATCGGTGAATACCTACCAGAATAGGCAGTTTTGAACACCTCCATGTCTTCATCTACCGGTCAACACTTTTCTCCCCCGCATTTTTTCTCAAAAATTGCCCCGACATTCCGAAATCAGCGGTTCCTTAACCGCTCCATCGAATGTGGAGTCAACCCCTGTCCATGACGTCCAGTCTGGGGATGGTGCTTAAACTTGAAGAATCAAGCAAGTCCCTAGCGCACAATGTTGACGAAGTTACTCCATTCAGCAATTCTAAGCACCCAAGCTCCAAATGCCATGGTTTATCACCAGTTCCCGATCAGCAGTCTATAAAGACAACAATTTCCTCACAATGGACTGGACCGCTTCAGCAGCGCTGAACTACACCATGCCCAATATGTTTTCTCAACTCGTCGGCGCTTTCGCCTTCTTCACTGCACTCCCCTTCGCCCAATCTGCACCAAGTCATGACAAGCAATGCTCGACTTCGCGCACGGAGCACAAAAACAGATTATTTGTGCTCACCGATATTAGCAATGAGCCTGATGATCAGATGAGTCTTGTCCGGCTGTTGACTTACGCCAATGAGATTGATATTCAGGGCATTTCTGTGACGACTTCGACGTGGATGCCTGATAAAATCGACTATGAGTCTGTCATTGGCGTTTTGGATGGCTATAAGAAGGTTGTGAATAACCTCAACGCCAATGTTCCATCTCACGCGCCTTATCCTTCGTACAAGTATCTTCTTGACAGAGTTCACAAGGGTCATCCTGTTTATGGACGAAAATCGCTCAATATGAGCCTGAGTGATGGTGCGAAAGCGCTTGTCAAAACTGCTGACAAGGCGAGCGTCGACGATCCTCTCACAGTCTCTGTTTGGGGCGGATCTGCGATTCTGGCTGAGGCTCTTCAGCACGTGTCTCGCACCAGAAGCGAAGATGCTGTTGATGCTTTCGTGGAAAAGCTTCGGGTTTACGCCATTTCTGATCAAGATGATACCGGTATCTGGATTCGCCTTCGCTATCCTCAACTCTTCTACGTTGTCTCTCTGCACGGCTTCAGCGAGTATACAGTTGCAGCATGGAACGGCATCTCGGGCGAAGAATACCGCAACTTTGACCACGGCGGCCCAGATTCCAGCATTGTTTCTAACGACTGGCTTGAGAAGAACATCCGACTTGGTCCTCTCGGATCTCACTACCTCAACTGGTCTTTCATCATGGAGGGAGATACGCCCGCTTTTCTACCTCTCGTTCAGAATGGCCTGGGTGACGTGAACCATCCTGAGTGGGGAAGCTGGGGCGGTCGGTATACCCTCCTTGACCACACGAACCAGTCGCGCGTCTATGCTGACACAAGTGACTACGTCGTCGGCGCCAACGGAAAGGCATTCACCAGTAAGTTTGCAACTATCTGGCGATGGCGCCACGATTATCAGTTTGACTTTGCTGCTCGTATGAAGTGGACTGTCAACTCCAATTACTCCGAGAACAACCATCAACCTGTTGCTATCGTCAACGGCTCTTGTGGTACTGCCCCGTTGAAGCTCAAATACAAGCCTGGCAGCAGTGTTGTTCTTGATGCGTCAAACAGTTGGGACCCTGATGGCGATGAGCTCAAGTACGATTGGTTCCACTACCGCGAGCCTGGTGGTGCTTACGGACGAGGCTTGGAAGGCTTTGACCCCTTGCTCAAGATGAAGCCAATCCTGACGCCCAAGAGCCCGAATGTCAATATCACAAGACTCAAAGATGATGGAAGTATCGTCAAGCTGGAGACTGCTAAGAGTCTGAACGATGTAAGTCAATCCTCATAATGAACCAAACATATACTGACTCCATTTTAGACAATGCACATTATTCTTGCTCTTCGCGATGCGACAGAAAAGCCTCTTGCTACCTACAGGCGGGTTATTCTTGAAGTCAAATAATCCACATCACTCTCATGTGCCATTAGTAGTACAAAATAGTATTTTATCTCGCATTCTATTATTCACGACGAAGGATATTCTATCAGCTCTATTCCGACTGTTGTTAAAGCTAGTTGCTATTTGACGTGATATCCGACCGAACATATCCCATTGAAAGAGCCTGAGAAACAATGTCACAATGACAGCTACAGTATATTGACACTACCCCTGCCCATCAGAACAGACCCGGACATCCCACCGGACATCCCACCATCATAGAAGCATGAAACACCGCACCCCAGCAAAGAAACGACATACAGGCAATATGATCCCAGTAGACATCATCTTCTTCATTCTGATGGGTAAGGTGATTGAGCAGCCGGGCCCTTTATGAACCGTAGTTAATATCACGGTACTCTCCTACTTGCCCTCAGGGAGCAAAAAACTATTAGACCTTGATCTATCCAATAAACTCAGTAAAAGGTACACCAAACTTCACCTAAATTGACATAAAGCTACCCAAGTTCTTTTGTCGTTTGAGATGGAAGTCCTGAGTTTTCTTTCATCCCTAGCTTGTCTAGGGTGTATCATAGCCATTTAGCCTTTACAAGTCTTGCATATGAGACACCTAGGTATTCGTGCGCTTGAGTTTACGAACAACCTTATTTACTATCTTAATGAAATGGTTTGTGCGAATGATGGCCATCGACTCCGCTTCCTCCCTTTATCCAGACAAAGGTGCATGATGCGATGCGATGGTGTATACATTCATCGCGCGGCAACTGTCAACGAGGTATACAAGCATTGGCTCGGGCATTGACGATCATCACACATTCTGAGACTGTTCATTGATGCGCTTCTTTACCCCACCAACCTTAACCCAGGTCCAGCATGTCAACCCTGGTCGCCGGCTAATATCTAGATCAGACCATATCGATGAAATACCGAGAGTTCAAGTATAAACAATTGTTTTACTGTAGCTCGTGGTTTTATAAATAGAGGCTTCGTTTGAGGTTCATGGAGTTTGTATCCTCACCAACACCAATTCTTCGCTTGTCTCTTTCTTCCAGATGATGATCTTTTCCCTGCTCATGGCCGCAGCTGCGGTCTTTCAGCTTCCAGTCGCTGCTGAGACCTTCAATCAGCCTCCTATCTTCCAAGACTTGCCAGACATCGACTTGATCCGGGTTGACAACACATACTACTACTCCGCCTCGACCTTCCACTATTCCCCCGGGGCCCCTATCCTACGCTCCTATGACTTAGTCAATTGGGAATACCTCTCCCACTCTCTCCCATCTTTCGACTTCAACGACCCGAAATTCAACCTTACAAAAGGACGGGCGTACAACGGAGGAGTGTATGCATCGTCACTTCGTTATCACAAAACACAGAAGAAGTTCTACTGGCTTGGCTGTATCCAGAAAAACGGGAAGACCTACGTTCACACGGCGCCGAGGATTGAAGGGCCGTGGACGAAAGCATCGACCATTTCGAATTATTGCTTGTATGATGCTGGTCTTCTCATCGATGATGATGATACCATCTACGTCTCCTCTGGGCAGTGGACACCCAATGGTGCTGAGTCTCAGACGTGGATTTCAAAGCTTGACAAAAATTTGCAAGTTGAGAAGCAAGAGTCTGTCTTTAAGTCCAACGAAGAGCTCGGCTACATCGAGGGCTCTCGCTTCTACAAGATCAAAGGTACATACTTCCTTTGGCTGACGAACCCTGGAGTTGGCAGAGGTCAAATCATTGTCAAATCCAGCGGTAATGTTTGGGGGCCCTATGACTCGTGGCATCGCGTACTCAAGAATAACGGAAAGCCTATAGAGGGCAGTGGATCGCCTCATCAAGGCGCCTTTGTCGATACACCTGATGGCGATTATTGGTACATGGCTTTCGTGGAGCTCGGAACAAGCGGAAGATTTCCTGTACTTGCACCACTGAAGTGGGATGAGGAGGACTGGCCTAACGTCGAGCTGGACAGTAACGGTAATTGGAAGAGTTCTTACAATTATCCATTGCCGAGGTATAATGTTGAGACTGTTGAAGGGACGTTTCAGTTCAAGGAACCCAAGCTCCCACCTCGGTTTGAGTGGAACCATGACCCAAACAACGACAAATGGAGCACCGGAGCTGACGGTCTGGTGTTGCACACAGCCACTATCACCGATGACTTCTTCTCCGCCCAGAATACACTTACGCACCGTATCCTTGGCCCACAGTCTAACGTCACCATTGAGCTTGATTATTCCTCCATGGTAGACGGGGACCGCGCAGGATTGGTGTCACTGAGATATGATGCAGGCTGGATCGGTATCGCCAAAGAAGGTAGTTCAACAACACTGCAGATGGTTGACAATGCTGAAATGGACCCTGACAACAACTTCGTCACTACCTCAAAAGGAACGATTATCGCAAGCAAGCCTATTTCTGGCGGCAAGATCTGGCTGCGCTGCCAAATCTCAACGGTTTCTCCGAATCAATCATCATTCTTGTATAGCACAGACGGAAAGACCTTTGTGAAGCTTGGGCAGGAGCATGTTACGAAGCAGGGAGGGGTTTGGTTCACTGGTACACGTCATGGTATCTTTAACTTTGCGACCAAGAAGAGTGGAGGACATGTTGTCGTCAAGGCATTTGACATTCGTCTTAGCTAGATACTGTACCCCATTTAGGATCACGCTCTATGTTCCTTCCAAGCTGCAACCGGCAGATGCGGCCTTGGTGTAGAACAGGGGGCCTAACACAGCCAGTGACGTTGATCAATTAAATAATTTATTGGTACATCGACTCAACTATCCAGTTGATAGAGCTATATGTTAAGAGTAGCACTTCTAGTTGATACTAAATGATCTTTGTTAAGGGTTTGAACTTCCCCTCCTGTTCAGAACATCTTCGTCCCATACTTGACGGTCGGCATATTGCATGCCAAAACGCTCTGATTAGCCCCCTATCATGTTAAACAGCAGCGGAAATCTTTAGTTCAATCTCTTCATCTGTTAGGAGACGGATACCAAGAAGCTCGTTGTCAACTGTGTCGTACGCCGCCCGATACTTACCACTTAAAACTGCGGCTTTAATCAAGGGGAACGCAGCATGGGGATTGGTGGGATCACTATTAATCAGTTCTATGCCCCGATCCAGAGCTTCCTGGGCGTCAACCTGGGTCACTGTCCACTGTGTCCCTGGCGGGCTGTGCTTCTTTGCCAGCTCTAAAATCTTGGCCTGAGTGAAGACGGCCTCGTGGATGAGAAGGTTGCGGTTTTTTGTCGCGTCAGGGACCTTCAGGGCGTTGGTTATGGCTTTTCCGATGGTAGAAACAGACGTTGAGCTGAACTTATGCACTCCCTTGTCGTAAAGCTCCATCGAATGGTTCTTCAGGTCGGCTACGAAGGGAGATGCAAGAACGTATTCCAGGAAGGCACCAGTTGAGAAGATTGTGTATTCAAGAGCACCGGAATTAGCCTTTTCGCGCAGATAGCCCTGAATCTCTGCCATTACTTGGATCGCTGGCAGGTCTCGTGCCTTAGGATCTGTGGTGAACGAGCCAAAGTCTGATGGGATGTAGCGCTTGACCCCGGCTTCGATGCTGGCGTCGATGATAAGCTTCTGCCCAGCCAATGCAGCTCCTCCTAGAGTAGCAATCGCGGCATCCTGCCCTTTGAGGGCTTGGACGAGGCTGTCCTTGGAGGAGTAATCGACTTGGACTACTTTGACATCGGAGGGAACGCCCTCGATGTTGGAGGGATCACGACTGAGGAGGGTGACAGCGTAGCCGCTTCTGACCAGCTGCTCAAGAATTGCGGTTCCCAGCATGCCTTTCTATAGAAACCATTAGCATGTGTTCGCAGTTCACAATAAAGGTGAGTTCATTTACGCCGAGAAGAGCGACGTTTTGGAAGGAGGTCATTTTGGTATGGAGCTTGGATGGTCGTGCTGGGTAAAGATGCTAGCTGGAATGATGTAGAAGAAGAGTGAAGTTCAAGCCGAGGCGCACGAGGTGTTATATATGGTTTGGCGACATGATTGATACACATTTTCATGGCACCATTGCGGAGATTTGAAACGCATTGCTAGATTGTCTCGACTAATTACTAAGTAAGTCCGCCTCTTATTGTTAAGCGCATGTAAATTGCGCGATATGCGTCCGTCGGCGGAAGCATTTTGCATCCGGTGGCCATTTGTCAGTGATGCACGTCACATTCACTTACCAACCACGTCGAGATCCATTGCGTACTCCACCTTTATCTCAGTGTTTACTACTCTGGTTCCATTTGCGACTGTGATTTACTTTGACTGATAGCCAAGATGGCCAACTCTTAAGCTCTGGTGGCTCTCGGCGAACTTTGGTGCCGTATCCCCGCCTCGTTAATAAATGCCACGAATTCCTAGGGCGCCATCAGTAGTCGCTTAAGCTGATTTCCAATGCAATATCATTACTTTGGAGGACAGGATTTTAATTATTCATAATTAATTTCAGCTTATATAAAATATAATTTTAAAATATAATATTTAAAGTTTTCTTATTCAGAAATTCAGGTAAAAATACTATTGCGAGTCTTGAGAACGAATGGATGAGGATGAAGTTAGAGGTGTTCGAGCACAAATATCATTCAGAGGCTTGGACGCGAATTGTAGGCCAAGGGCATAACATTGTGTAAAAAGGATAGCTTGTCAGCGCGATGCGGTCAGTTCCCAGGAGCGTGGTTCGGAGACACATCTAACGCCTTTATCAGGTAACGTTATAACAATTTTAGCCTTGACTAAGAATTCTCCCGTCAAAAGCCGTCCAATCATCATTCGTCCTATAATTACGATCGTAAAGTCCGCTCTATAGCCCAGTTTCATGCCAAGATCGGACAATTGTAGGAAACTCCGCTCCGCAGCTTCAAACCTCTCAACAGTCGCATGTAGGTTATTCGTAATAAGCGAATGCCGCCTTTATTCATAGAATAATTGCTGATATAATTCTCAGGTTCCCCTTTGTATCCGCTTAGTCCACTTAATCCATCGATTCGCATGGCTGACACTATGCAAGCCTGGCAGTACTCAACTGTCCAAGGCACGGTGGAAGACAGCATCTCAGTCAACGATGTTGCAAAGCCAAACGCATCTTCTCTCGCCAAATGGCAGCTTATTGTTCAAGCCATCACCGCGGCTCTCAATCCCGTTGACTACAAATTGCCTGAAGCGGGATTCATTGGGCGCATGATGATTCCGCGGCCCGCTACTGTAGGCCTGGATTTTTGTGGTCGCGTCGTTGCCAAACGCCCTTCCAGCAGTGCCTTCGAAGACGGTCAGCTTTTTTTTTGGTGCATATAATTCTCTTACTAGGGCTAGCACGCTGTCTCAATATATCGTCATCCCAGAGAAGTTCTGTGCTGCCGCCATAACAGCCTATCAATCCCTCATGCCCGACACATGGAAGTCCAGAGTGAAGATATTTACCAATGGTGGCAGCGGCGGCACAGGCACTTGGGCGATTCAGTTCGCAAGGGCCATGGGTGCTGAAGTCACCGTCACCTGTTCGACTGCGAATTTGGAGCTATGCCGAAAACTTGGAGCCGACGAGGTAATCGATTACAAAACAATGGAACTCATTTCCAGTCTCAAGCAGAAGACTCATGACTTCGATCTCGTCATCGACAATGTTGGAATGGATGATGAACTGTACAATATCCGCGAAGTGCTTCTGAAACCCACAGGAACATTTGTGCAAGTCGGCATTCCGGCGGCCGTCAGTCTGTTACAAACTGTATCCATTGTTAAGAAGATCATATGGCCATCCATATGCGGCGGCAGGAAATACTACTTTGTCAACATAAATAACAGCGCCAAGTTCTTCACTCAAATCGGTCGATGGATGGCTGAGGGCAAGACTAAGGCAGTGATTGATACGGCATACAGGTGGGAGGACGTCCCTTTGGCCTTTAGAAAATTGAGGGATGGACATGTGAGTGGAAAATTGGTTGTGCATGTCATGAACAGAGATTGATTGTGAAATACCCAACTTTCACAATCGCCACTTTGATCACAACTGTTACAACGGATTTGCACGTCACACAGGCGGTCTGGAGGCTATTAAGCGTGTTATACCGAAAGTAGCTTAGGAAACTCGTGTTGGAAACAACTAGCAATGACCTAGTGTGACTCGCATTCTTACAATGTGCTACTGTGGGTTGACTTATCGGCCGGTACGTATAGACCTTGTACTGCTATAGACATGCTTGCACTCTATGATCGATAGAAAAGTTGCGTGGTGCTACCTGAAATAAGCTCGGTATAAAGAGTCTTTGGGAGCCGCGATGCAATTGCGATACAGCTCATTCTCTCTATCTAGAGCACGTTCAAGATGAAAGGGTTTTGCTTGTCCGTGAAGTCACGGAAATGATACTCATCTTCGTTAAAGAGATGCCTGTTCTCCTCCAGGAACGCCTTACGCTTACGGTTCTCATAGTGCATGTACGCGATGTTACAGGCGCCAGCAAAGAAGCTGATAGCAAAAGCGACAATGTTGGCCCTGAGACCTTGCCTGTAGGGAGGGGTCGTGTATAGCTGGGGACCAATAATGCCTAAAGGAAATTAGAAGGAGTTTAGGAGACAGGTTTTAACAAGAAAAGCTACCACATACATCCGCAACAGTAACACGTAAACATAATGGCTTGAGCTGTTACTTTCTTGGTGTGGCCGGCGATATTTCCGGAGATAGTACCCATCCCAAGCAAGAAGCTACACGGGATAAAAGCCATCATGGCCCAGAATCTAAGTGAATTTGTTAGTTAATGCAATGACTAAAGCATTTACCAAGGTTTTGGATCAAAACACATACCCAGCCATCAGGCGCCAGCGCTGGTGCACGTCGAACACGTATAGCATGGAAGCACCAACAATGGCCAAGGCATTCGCCAGACTAGCAAGTGCTAGCCTCCAATTTCGGATGCGTGACGCGAGAGTGCAGAATACAGTGAGACCGATGATCTCGATGATACCAGTTGGGACTTGCAGGAGGGCGGTTTGCAAGGGTGAGAAGCCAAATCCTCTGATAACGAGACTTTGGAACTAGCCAATGGGTCGATGTTAGTCTACCCCCATCGCATGGGCTCACACAAAGTGCAGGTCAACGTACCAGACCGATGCCATTAAGGATGTTTCCCGCTCCTGTAGAAAGGCCAGCAAGCCAGACCTTGGGATCCAGAAGAGCCTCGATGGCCTGATCCATCTTGAACTTCTTGGACTCCACGCCGGTTTTGGCGTCCTCCATCCTCCGGAGGGCTACGATACGCTCGCGCTCATCAAGAAACCAGACACTGGCGGGATTAGAGGGCAGGGCAAACCAGAGAATCACCACCCATACGACTGAGATGGCACCGCAGATGATGAAGGGAAACCTCCAGAGTCCAATGCTAGAGTTGATATGGCCTATACCATATGCAAACAAAGAACCGACGATGATGGCTATGGGGCGCATTCCGTACCACGCCATGGGACGGATAGGCTGCTCCTCGCGTGTGTACCACATGTTGGTGATGATGAAGAATGCTGCAAGCTGAATCGATTCGGCTGCACCGAGTAAGAAGCGCAATGCAGCAAAGCCCCAAAGTTGGATGAGGCAGCCATTAGGAACGTGAGAACACCCCAACCCATCACCTGGGAAGCAAAGTACTTACCGAGGGGGAATCTCTGGAGCAGCAGCAGAGAAGGATACTGCCAGAACAAGAAGCCAAAGTAAAAGATTGAGCTAGCCCAAGAATAGTCGGTTCCCTGCATATTTAGGCTCTCTCTCAAGCCATAATTAGCGGAGTAGTTAATAGTGGACTTGTCGAGATACTGCAGGAACCCGGTGACCATCATCATGCTGTCGATTAATGTGTCAGCGGCCGCTGAGCCTCGGTTAACCAGATAAGATGTTCATCTTTACGGAAGAAGATAGAGGTCGATTTTTCTGCGAATGCGCTTCTTCTCCTCGTCGGAGATTTCTTCATCCCTATTTTGCAGATAGTACTGACGACCAATATCGTCAGAGATATCTGCGCCTTTGATATCTATGCAAGATGTCAGCTAATCTCAAGTACACCGTTTGTTCGCTTCAATACCTCCGACAGCAAATCCAGGGGTATCGCTGATTACTTCAATAGGTGGCACCGAAGCGGCCACGATCTTCGACACCTGCTTCTCCTGGTCCGGTTCTGATGCAATTACTGGAATTGCGCGCTTCAAGCTTGAAGATGTAAAACAGTGGTTTGAAATGAGCTGCTATCTCGATGCTGAGAGTTGTTTGTTTCCGACAAAGATATCTTCCAGCAAGAGAGCCTTTATAGACACGACTCTGATAAGAGGCCCCCGTCGTGGACTACTCCTTCGCAATGTCGCAATCTGTCTAAAAAGGCTCCCATAATCGTCGACCTTTTCACCTTGCCTGTCAAGGCTGGACACAGTGGATATCTTGGCCTAAGATTGGCAACCCCCGGGTTCTGATCGTGGACTACAAACGCCACAGGCTGTTACGCCTTTTCTATGGATCATCACATAATTGACTCTATCCGACTTCGGTGGTTCTTTCATCGCACAGTTCTTCGGGGCATTTATCACCCACCCGAGACACAGAGCCCTGTTCACTAATCCCCGGTCCAAAGCCGACGTATAGCGCCTGAGCGATTATGTCATGCATCCCGACCTTGTTTGTTTTGTTTACTAGACATTTTCTACACTCATCCGGAGAAAGCAGCCTTTTAACCGAGACTGATAGTTAGAAAAAGTAGTGGTGTCTCAACCTTTGTCTTGGCTAATACACATCCAGGTCTAATTGTCATTCTTCGCCGTATCTCGGAGCAATCCCTTATGGCTTCGGAGACTCGATTACCAATCTAGGATTTTGAAGGAATATGTCGGAATTAGGAATGAAGCATACGTGAAAGCCGTATAATATCTCATGATGCGACCTTTGTCTTTCGTCACCGTAGAAACCTATAGAGGTCTGTTTCTCTTGCAAATAGGACCCATCCCGACTTTTGATAATTGATCATCGCGACCTTTGAGTAACAATGGCAGCTGGAGATGACCTCGTTGCCCTCGTCGCCAAGACGAACGCCCGCGGACCAACCACTGGCTTCACGGATGTAGATGACGATGCCGAACCGCTTCCCGCTGGCTTTGACACGGGCAATGCCAAAGCCTTTAGCCCCCTGAAAGTCGGCGACCTGACACTGCAGCACCGAATCGTCCACGCGGCTCTAGGGCGATCTCGCGTTGCCCATTCCACCGAAAGCCCGTTGGCTGTTAAGTATTTCGAGCAGCGCACCACTCCAGGCGCACTCATGATCTCTCAAGCCACTGGTGTCTCGCTCAAATCCAAGGCCTGGCCTTGGTCAGCGACACTCCAGACGGAAGAACACAAGCGTGCCATCGCCGATATCATCCAAGTGGTTCACAAAAAAGGCGGCTTCTGGTTTCAACAGCTCACACACGTGGGTCGCTGCACATCTCCGGGCCTCGTCAAGCACGCCTATAAAGAAGCTGGTCTGAACCCTCCTCCCTACGGCTACCTTCCGGTCTCTTCTTCGGCTGTTGCTGAGACAGGTTTGAATACCCACTCCGGAGAACTATTCGGGGTACCGCACGCGTTAACAGTTGAGGAGATCAAGGAGATTGTGGCTGATTTCAAGCGCGCTGCCGCCCTTGCAGTCGAAGCTGGAGCCGATGGAATCGAAGTGTGTGACAAATCCCCCTTACCTCCATAATGAAAGTCAGTGACGAACAAGTTTGCTAACGGTGCTTACTGGATTCTTTCCGGGAATGGTTTCCTCTTGGATCAATTTTCGCATGACAATATCAACCAACGCGATGATCAATATGGAGGATCAGTCGAGAACAGGAGTCGCTTTCCTCTGGAAGTGGTTGATGCTATCGCAGAAGTAGTAGGCCATCAGCGATTGGGCGTCAGAGTGAGCCCCTTTTCCAAGTCCGTGGACCCCCTAACCCTCGTCCTCACCCTTCTTCAGCTAACCTGTGGCCACCAGTTTCCACGAGACAGACGGTTCACAACCCCTGGAACAGTTGCTTCATCTCAGCCGGGAGCTAGCACGACGGGGTGTAGCATACTTGCATGTCGGCGAAGGCCGTGTGTCTCGTAACCTCGGTATTGCCGAGAACCTTGCACGCCTCGTGGCTAAAGGAATTACCCCAGAAGATATCTCTCTTCGACCGCTCCGGCGTCTTCTGAGGGACACCGCCCCTTTGAACCCATATCATACACCTACCGTCCTTGTCGGCAATGGAGGCTATACTGCCGCATCTGGCATTCTGACGGTGCAAAACGACCTAGCTGACGCAATCTCTTATGGCCGACGCTTCATCTCTAACCCCGACCTCGTTCAACGTCTTCGTCTGGGACAACCGCTCAGTCCTTACGATCGGGACACCTTTTACACACATGGCGCTGAAGGTTATACCTCCTACAGCAACTTCAAGGAGTACAAGGGACATGCATCTCAGCCTCGCCAGAGTGATAAGACTCCCAAAGATGAAGCGAACGCAGCCAGGGAAGATGCCGCAAACAACAGCGATGAGACTCCTTCCAAGCGGGTTGCTATAATCGGCGCTGGAATCAGCGGTACTGTTACAGCGGCTGCTTTCCAACGCCTAGGTGGCTTTGAAATTCAGATCTTCGAACGTAAGAGCGTCCCGGGTGGTGTCTGGGTATATGATCCCGTATCCACGACAGTTCCCCAGTTTCCCGCTGCAGAACCTTCAGACATCAACCCACCTCTGCCGCGTCCCGATGGCCCTTTCCCGCTGGAGCTTCCCCGTTCAACGCGTCAGCGCTTCCTCTCGTCTCCCATCTATGAGTCCCTTGAAGCAAATATTCCCTACAAGGTAACGGGAGGTGCCACGGATTTCAACCTCCCCCCCCAGCAAACAACGAGCATTACCTGAGCGTCACCGAAGTCACAGAATTTGTCAGCAAGGCCACTCAAAAATACAGCTCCATGACTCGATTCAGCACCACGGTAGAAGATGTTCAGAACATCCCGCAAGGCGGTGTTAGGCTACTCTTACGTAGAGAGAATGCTGGAGAAACAGACACTTGGTATGAGGAGGATTTCGATCATCTTGTCGTCGCGACGGGCCACAACAGTGTCCCCCGCGTGCCCAAGATACCCGGCCTCGAGGCCTGGAACGGAAGCCTGCAACATGCCTCCACATGGCGATCGGCACAAGAGTTCAAGGGCAAGAAAATCTTAGTGGTCGGTACCAGTGAGAGTGCCATCGATCTCGTTCTTCAGTCTCTTCCTCATGCCAAGGGCGATATTCATGTGTCTCAAAGAAAACCGCACCCCCGGTATCCTAACGTGTTTGATCGGCCTGGCGTCAAACTCGTGACCACGATTGACCATTTTACCGAAGACTCTATTCATCTAGATGACGGTTCTGTCTTGGGAGGCATCGATGTGGTAGTTTTTGCGACGGGGTACTTCTACACGTACCCCTTCCTCTCGAATGTCCGCCCACCTGTATCCTGCAGGAGTTTAGTCTGTCCTGAGAGAGAAAAACAAGTAGGGTCGCCAATGCGTCCAAATTTAACCTGCAAAGCAACAACAAAGGGAAACTGGAGCTATTTCTTAATCCGATGGGGTTCAATCAACTAGTGACAGCGAGGAAGTGCATGTAATTAGTGTGGGGAGACAGGACCGTTTTGTGATAGGTGGTGATGAAAATGTAGCGGCATTTGACATGGATGCATTTCCCAAAAGAGTGTAACATCTGTGTTTTACTTTCTTAGTGGCTATCATAATTGTCAATTCTTTTGATTTCACCAAGTCATACAACGATAAAATGAGGCTATCCGCATATCAACTTCCAAAAGCTAAAGTGATTGGGATTTTTTAGTGTGTTGGCTTGATATGTCTTGTTGAGACGTCATAAGCTTCAAGTATCAATCAATGAGGTATGCAGTAGCATGAAGGATAAAGGTTAAGAGTAAAACCGATTCTTGCACTATGTTGCAATTCATCGGGCTAGCTAAGTCTCATCTTGTGACAGATACTGATACCATCATAAAGTATCCTAAGATATCCCAATACAGTGTAAGCCATTTTGCCGCTTGAAAGTCAGTCATGAATTTCTGCCACCTGTCTAGCTTTTTTTCATAATGACTGGCAAATGCAGTGTCCTTATTATATTTATTGACAGCCTTATATCTTCCAAGACTTACCAGATACCGACTTAATCTGCATTAACGATATATACTCTACTCTATCTTAACCTTTTACTACTCTCTTGGCACCCCTATCCTACACTCCTATAGCCTAGTTAACTAGAATTGCCCTTCTTACTCCCTCCTATCTCTTAACTTTAATAACCTAAAACTTAACTAGATAAAAGAGTAGGCATATAGAGAAAGAGTGTATACATCTTTACTTTAGTAACCTATTAAGGGCAGTAAATTACCTTATTAAGGTGCCTTTATTAAGGCACTTAAAGAGAACTATTAATATATAGTTTTTATAGAGCTTAAAATAAATAAAAGATTTTTTATTCTTATATTATTAAAGTAAAATAAAAAAAGCTAGCTTAATATTAATTAAAATAGTAATAAAGGTTAAAAAAGTTTTTAAAATTACTTATTATTAAGTTATAATATTAAGCCTATTAAAGAAATATTTAAATTTAATAAACTTAAAATTTTATTTTAATTTAAAAAGAATTATAATTTAAATAATAATAAATAAACTATTAAACTTTTAAAGTTAATAATTTAAAATTATATATAGTTATTATTATTAATAACTCTTTTTAGCCTAAAATATATTTTTATATAGTATTTTTAGCCTATAATTTAATATTATTATTAAGTTTAATTATTTCTTTATAGTAAATATAAACTATATAAGATTTATATTATTAAAAATAATAATTAAATAATACTTTAAATAGTTAAAAATATTAAAATAAGCCTAAATAATAACTTTATTATTACCTTTAAAAGTAAGGTTATTATAAATAAGTCTATTTTTAATAATAAAATCTAGCTATAGTATTAAATTTCCCCAATTTAAACCACTACTTCTTTACTAATATTACTTTATCTGCAGTTCTTAGACATAAGGTCAATTAGTTATATACCCTTATATATATATTTAATTAGTAGAGCTAGTCATTATTAACTTTAGGTTAATTTGGCTTTTATCGACTAACTTACATAAAGTAAAGTTAACCTAATTCCTTTAAACCTTCAGTCTAACCTTGCCATTACCCTGCATTTATTGTGACGGTTGTGGGTTTCAAACAGGAAACTAGTCCGTACTAGATTTTATGTTTACAGAAACGTAAGGTATATATACTAAGCTTAAATTAGGTGTCATATCTCTTAATGATTAAATAATATGTATTAGGCTTATTGATATAAAGAAGTTTTATTAATAGCTGGTAAGCTAAGTTCTATCTAATACTAAATAAATGTATGTATATATACTAGATGCCTTCTGGGGTTAATTAGTAAGATTATCGTGGGATCAGTAATAATTCAAACGGATTATTGCTAATCAAGAGAAGTTAACTATAATTGTAGAGTCTTAGCGCTAATTATCTTTAGCGGGAGTGTTATTAATTAGCGAGAAATGTAGGTTGCACGTAAGTGCCTATTTAGGTCGTAACATTTATCCCTTTGCTTTTATGGTCTCAGACTATAACCGGCCTGTTAACCCTTATATAAGCAGGAAGAAGCTAAATATATATTTAGCTTTAATAATTACGTTTTATAGCCACTCTTTATAGCTAGCTAAGCCTAAAAAGGCAGCTAGAAAGGTAGCCTAATTAGTTATTAAGGTCTTACCTTACTTTATAGCTTTTTCTAAATCTTTTAGTTATAATAGCTCTTTAGCTAGCCAATCTAGAGATATTATATAAAATAGGATATTTAAATCTATATAATTAATTATATTAATTAAAATATAATTAAGAATAGCTATTTTAATTAAATTAAATTAATTCTTTAATAAGAAGTTC